AACATGAGGCATATGTTAGGGAAAAAAATATTTATATAAATACTCTATTGCCCAATACTGTTGGTCATAAAAATCACATTTTCCAGTTCTTAGCAGCAAAAATTATTCAAAAATTGGTTTTCTAGAGGAGTTTCACATTCATAAAAATCTTTCAGTACTAGTTAACAATCCCAATTCCAATCTGTCTTGACCCCAGTTTCAAGGAAATTATTTCACAGTTATTTTTATTGTTCATCTATGGAAGGTGGCAGTAAGTTAACTTCCTTCCACTCTTTTATTGCTCAAGCATAAGCTTCTCTTCCATCATTTGTATTTTTTCAGCTGAAGAGGGTTCTATTTTAAATCATCAAAAACAATCTCGCAATTTTTTTAATATATGCTGATTCTTGTGCCTTAATTCCTCCAATAATAAAAACTGTTAGTCATAAGAAAGGTTAGAAGAGGATGTGTCCGCAGATATTTTTTTTTTAAATGCCTGGCATATTTTATGGTGAACTACCTAATTTCATGATGGTGAAAATTGCAAATTTGAAGGTTTTTCAGATATAACAAGTAAAAAGCTAAATTTTCCAATTAATGGAAAGAAGGTAAAAGAAAAATTAAATGAAAAAGATATAATATTTGAAATATGGAAAAAAAAAAAAAACCACCCACATCTAGTGATATGGTATTAACGGAAAAGAATCAAGAAATTTTCTAATTAGTGGAATTTGTGATGAAATGCAAAATGAAGATGATATAACTGAAGCCTTCATTGCAATGACAATGCCTCAACCAACAAGCAGTTAATAGATGACGAAATTTGTAGTATTATTTAAAAACCAGTAAATATCATCAACACCTGTGAAGAAAGCGACAAAGAGATCTTTGACAATACAAAAGAATTCAAATGTTTATTTAATAGAAATTCTTAACATGACAGTTACATAAAATAAATAACACAAATCTGTAACTTAACAAGAAATCACTTATCTCTGAGTGTGAACAAAAAGTTTTAAAATATAAAGACACTATTTAACAACTTGTATTAAAAGAAATGCTTAATAAAATAAAATAAACATTACTATTCACTTTTGTTTTCAAAGGGGAGTAAATTTTGATTCCCTCAAGTTTATAATAAAAGCTTTATTATTTCACAAACAACCATTTCATATTTGTTATTTTCTAAGGCACTTATGCATCATCTCGTCGACTGAGAAACTGCCACCAAGCAGTGAAATTAAAATTTAGTCCAGTTATCCATAAGAATGGCATAATAACATCTCCACTTTCATCTGATTTTCTATAAGCCACATTTGTTTTTATGAATGAAGGTGGAAATCAATTGTTATTTCTACATTTTTTAAGTGATTAAAACTTGAAACCTGCCCTCTGTAAAATAACAAGAAGTGGATTAGTTTCAAAGTTATGGAATCCTACCATCAAAAACTGTGCATTAACAAACAGGATATGGTCAGCTGAATATGGCTGACAAAACAATAATAGATTGGAATAGAGACTGGTAAGAAGTTTGTACTCATAATGTTCTAAACACAGCTTCCAATAAAATTGGAGCACCTAACTAGAAGAAACAAGCAAAAGAACTTCACAATGTGGAAAAATGAAGTTTTGATGTTTATTGTTTATTTTGACGTTCAGCGGGGCATTTCTTCCATTCTTACCAGAGCCTCATGGAATCCAATTTTGGACCTCACATTTTAAAGTCCATTACTTGTGAATCATCTTTGAGGATGGGAATTCTTGGAAAATTTGCATTTCTCCCTTGCGGCTGCTGCTGGAAATGCTAAAATTCAATGCTATATAGTCCTGTGGTAGAAGTCAGGAAGGTGTGTGTGTGAAAGACCATTGTGTATCCTCCCGACATCCTGGTTATCGATGTGGCCAGTAACCATGGTTATTGATGTGGCACGTAACCATGATTCTCTTCAGCATGGTATTACGATCTGATATATGCAATCCTGACATGGAAATGAGCTATCAAAGATTATAATGGAAATAGGAATCTAACTGAATGCCTCAAACATCATTTACAAGGTGTGTCTACAGCCAAGTACTTGTCGACACACCTGTCAAATGAATCGCCCATTATCCAACTCGTATCTTCTTCATGCTGTGTGTTTTCCTCACATGCCATAGGTTGACATATTCTGTTCATCGGTTTTGTAAAGTTCAAGGAAAGCACCTATTAGTTTATGTTTAATTTGCAGCATATATGCTCTTTTGGTATGGAACCAAGTTTCACACTACGCCAAAACTAGCAACATCACCCCAAATTAAAATTCAATGAGAACTACAATAAAGTAAAAAAAGAGGCATCAGTTCCTTCAGATCTCTCTAGGAATGACTGGTGTAACTTCACCAACTTTCATGTTTCAATGGTAGACAACTTTCTTGGTCAACAGAATTAATACAAAAGTACCTTTCATAATTTCTACATGTCTTCTTACTAGATTTAAATTAACGATCTAAAATCCAAAATTTTCAAAATCCATATTTATTAAAGTCCCAACAATTCTAGATGTCTGAGTTTGTACTATATATATATATATAGTACAAACTCAGAGAATATACTATAGTACAAACTCAGAGAAAATACTCAGAGAATTCACACACACATATATACGAGTATATATGTGTGTGTGTGTGTGTGTGACATATATATATATATGTGTGTATATATATACAGTCAAAAGTCGTTAATTCGGACACCCATAATCCGGAATGATCTATAATCCGGACCTCAAAGCTACAAACTTTCTGCGCGTGCGTCACGTGTGCGCATAAGACCTTTACGGCTGCGAATATGCATTTGCGCATGCGCATAAAACGTTTACGCATGCGCCTTTAATGTATAACGGACGGTATAAGCTAAGCTAAAATTATCTAATTCAGTTAATGTTGAAGATTGCTTGTTCCTTAATCTTCTAATTGGATCCAGCTTATTATTTTTTGCAGACTGTTAGAGCAATTTTATAAAAGTAAGCTTGAACTTTCAATTATATCAAATAGAATTTCCGATATATATTTGCTATGTAAAGGATCTAAAGTGAAAGTATGTTTCGAAATCTGAAATCTGTTTATCAGCGGCGCGCAATAAATTGGAAGTTGATCTGTCAGCACTATCCTTATCTTCAGGGCAGATGTTTTTATTTTATTTAGCATATAATTCCTTATTAAATGTAGTATTTCATCTCGATGTACTCCGTCTTTGATATGATTTAAAACAAGTTCCTCGTCATTATGATTCGTTTCCGATAGTGAAGAAAGTGACACAGAGATTATTGAAAACGAAAAAATTTCGATTGACAAATTAGTCGGTATTCTCGACACAGCAATCATAGGACTTGAACAACGGAACTTTGTAACTAAACAAGAAATTATGTCTGTTTAATAGAATTAAAGAGAAAGTATTATCACATGAAATGAAGCAACTTAAACAACTTACATTGAAAGAAATGTTTAATAAAGTAAACAAATAAATATTAAGCTTTTTCTTTTTGTAAATTTTGATACCTTTAGATCATAATTGTTCTTATTTCATAAATTACGGTTTCATATTTTTAATTTTGTAATTTCTGCATGCCATCTTACCAGATTTAAACTGATGATCTATAATCCGGAATCTCCGAAGTCCCAACGAGTTCGGATTAACGACTTTTGACTGTATATGTATATATATATATATGTATGTGTGCGTGTTGTGAACCGATTTCAGAATTTCTTATGGACAACCCATTAAAATAACATTGAAAATGCAAAGAAATTTTCTTAAATGATATTTACAAGTGTGAAAGAATTCAAGCCAATAACACAGGTCACATTTATGCGACTTCTGTATGTTGATATGGTAAACAGAAATTTATTAAAAACTTTGATATATTTAGTAATAAATTAAACCTTATATTCTTATAAATGAAATCTTCTTTCCTCCCATCTTGTAATTAGAAACTAATTACCCCAGAAATGCATCAGTTTTTTCAGTTAGATATTCTTGGAAAACTTGTGTTTGTTTTAAAATGAGTAAATTAACTTGCTCATAATCATTTCATATGTGATATTAACTAGTCTGCAGATCTGTAGGCTTATGAAGAAAAGTTTAAGAAAATATTTATTTACAGTATAAACAATATTAACACATTGACTGCCGCATGTATTTTATGCGGTTTGCCTATGGCAGCAACTTGAATTTTTTAAAATGTGATGTATATTATGTTGACACATTATCTAAGAAGATAAAATGAGTTATATAATCGTGCTTAAAGCATTTTTCATGATGGGGATCACCGGTGATCCCAACCATTTTTACGATTACTTTAGACCAGCAGTTCTTAACCTTTTGACTAACGCGTACCATCTAAACAAAAATTGAAAACCTTTAGTACCACAACTATAAAGTACTACTACCACCACCACTCTTGAATAAAGCTCAGATCGCATAAATTTACGGTTGTTAGAGAAAAAACTCAATCAGGATGTTGGGGTTGTAATTTTTGAATTTAATAGTTAAAAATACTTTGCTTTTTTGCATACCACCTATTTTTCTCTTGCGTACCACCAGTTGAGAACTCCTGCTTTAGACCATTTTTACGATTTATTATTCTTCAAACCATTATAGTAACAATGGTATTATTTAAAAATTTATCAGTATCGATATTTACTATAATTATGAATTTTTACTATTAGTCGCGTTGCTGGCGGCTCCATGGCACTGCAGCTAAGTCGAGTGCCAAAATTTTAAATATTTTCACCTTAAATTTTAAGAAACTTGGCTATTACTTCAAAAAAAAAAAAAAAAAAAAAAAAAAGGAATTGAGGAAGGAATAAATATTCAATAAATGAGAAAAAATTTTTTCTACAGGCTATATTTTCAAAATTTAGAAATTTAAATGGTGTTAAAATTTTAACTTCAATACTTTAAAAACTTTTCAGTAACATACATATATGAAAAACATTAGGAAATTATACTATAAATGTTAATTAAATTATTTATATTTACATACCTGCAATGCTAGCAACAGTTAAATCCCTTAGAGCATTGTAGCCAGTGCTTTCAGATTTAACCAATGTTCGCAGACCATGAAAGGCATAAAAATATACAAAGTTGGAACAGCATAAGCTTGTTAGAACAGGCTCCAAACCACGGTATAAACTTAATCTGAAATAATTTTCATTAAATTACATACTTCAAAATTAACATAAAGTGTTAATAATATAATATAGAAATAATTTTCATTAAATTACATACTTCAAAATTAACATAAAGTGTATTTTAAAATTAAAATCCACACAAATTTTATTTTCACATAAAGCTAAAGAAATGAATCTGAATTAAGAGCAAGTAAAAAGCAATAAAGCACCATATAATAAAATACAAATTTCAACTGTAAAAGATGAAATTCCAAATTTCAAATAATAAATTGCATTTTAAAATTAATTTTGGTACTTTCCGATTACCCACGTCCCCTCCAAAAAATTGTGGACTGATTTTTGCCAAGCTAAGACGCAAAAGATAACAGCCATTTTCAAAAATGGTGTCACCCTAAGAATTACATAAAACAGCAATCAATTAACAATATTAAAAATGCAAGAAACCTCCATAATTTTTCAGCACTGCTCTTCCAATGTACACAGTGATCTGTTTCAGCTTCAAAAAACATCAGAGAATTGTATAAATAGGATTATAGATCATCAGTTTAAATCTGGTAAGATGGCATGCAAAATTATAAAAATTAAAAATATGAAACCGTAATTTATAAAAATAATGAGCAATTATGATCTAAAGGGTATCAAAATTTACAAAAAAAAAGAAGCTTAATATTTATTTGTTTACTTTATTAAACATTTCTTCCAACGTGCGCATGCGTAAAGCATACATTACGCATAGCCGAAATTAGAAAATTGCAACCAGAAAACTATTTGATGTGTATTCGTGATATTTATAATGACGAGGAATTTGATTTAAATCATATCAAAGACGGAGTACATCGAGATAAAATACTACATTTAGTAAGGAATTATAAGCCGAATAAAATAAAAAATCTGCCCTGAAGATAACGATAGTGCTGACAGATCAACTTCCAGTTCATTGCGCGCCGCAACGTTCCCTCAACCCTCCCTTCCCCGCACAGAGCAGCGTGAAATTGATAAACAGATTTCGGAACAGTTAGATAAACAAAGGATATGTCTTTATCCATTTTTTGTAGCAATTCCACTTTTTGTTTGATGGACATCGAAACATACTTTCGCTTTGTAGATCCTTTGGGAGCTCCAGCATCGGAAATTCTATTTGACATAATCGAAAGTTCAAACTTACTTTCATAAAATTGCTCTTACAGTCTGCAAAAAATAATAAGCCAGATCCAATTTGAAGATTAAGGAACAACGCAATCTGCAACATTAACTGAAATAGATAATTAGATAATTTTTGCTTATACCGTCCGTTATACATTAAACTCGCACGCGAAAACATATTCCGCGCTTGCGGAGACGCATATGAGCAGTCATAAAGGTCTTGAGCGCACGCGTAAACGCCCATGCGCATGCGTAAACGCGCCGCATAGGCGTTTATGCGTGCGCTCAAGACCTTTACGACTATGCGCATGCGTCAACGCGGCGAATGCGCAGAAAGATTTTAGCTTTGAGGTCCGGTTTATAAATCATTCCGGATTTTGGGTGTCCGAATTAACGACTTTTGACTGTATATGTTCAAAATTTTAGCAAAATTATATGTGAAATTGTATTATTTTTTATTTTAGGTAAGAGATGAAGCTCTTTCAGAAAAATAAGAATAAGAAGGAAGTTTATTTAATATTGAGGTAAATGGCTATCTCGATAAATTGGCGAGATATCGCCAATCTGGCGATGGTTTCAGGAACTAATTTTTGTCACCAAATCTGGCAACCATTTGCCAACATTTTGGTCCGGTCTGTATATGTAACTGTGACCGTATCCAGCTGTTAGATGTAACTTTAACCATATATGCCTTCCAGAAATTTAGAGAAATGAATGGTATCAGAGATTTCACGGCAGCACGGGGAGGGGGGGGACTATAAAAGTCCGGATAGAGCATCTATTCTCAGTTTAGTTCAGCGTGAGTTCAGAGTTTTGAGAGGTCTCCGCA